AGAGAGAGAGAGAGAGAGAGACAGAGACAGAGAAAGAGACAGAGTGAGAGAGAAAGAGGATTACTCTAGGAGCTGTGAGCTGCACATGTTATTTGTATTATTGTACAGCACATAGAGCACTTCTTTGAGGAAATGCGCTATAGAAATGTATTTGTGTCACGACGTGGTAGAATCAGGCACTCGTCAATTTTTCGGCATGTGGAGTTATTGGGATCATCTCATTATCTACCGCCACTGATTGTGTCAACAAAAGGTGAGCTCCCAAGGTTAATGATTACTGGTTTTGGTCATTACACTACAAAAGCTTGAATTCCATAAACTGGAAAATAAATCCGGTGAATCAGTTTTTTGCTTTTCCTGAACCATTTTTAAAATGATGTATGGCGGAGTATAACACTCAGCAAACGATCTGACTGCCCCTACCTACACTGTTGTTTCAGCTGAAAACCTAGTTTCTAACAAAATCATCTTTTGCCGCAAATGGGAAAGAAAAACTTCACTTTAAATAGAACCTAACAGAAGGCACAATTTTTAAATGGTGACATATGTCACGACGCAGTGGAATCGGGTGCTTGTCAGTTTTTGGGCAGGTGGAGTTATTGGTATAATCTCAAAGCTTGTTCATTTGTCTTGCTTTCAGAGGAAAAAGTTACCCATCAATTATGAATAGAAGTCGAGCTATTTGTGATAGGCAGGTTGGGGGGTCGGTTGGTTCCAGAGGTAAAATAAGTGAGAAAATGGTCACCAATGTTGCAGACATCCACAGTTTGTGAGTCCTTGGAAACGGAAAATTTACATTCTGTATGGCTTTAGTCAATGTTTTTCAGTAAAATCCAAACACAAATGTGTTTTTAAATGGACATAAATGATGATGAGCCAAAAAAACAAAAACGCAATAAAATTTCTTAAACCTGCAGAAAAATGCCGTTCTCTTCGATTTCATTATTTTGATGAGTGCCTGATTTCACAACGATGCCTCACATGTATATATATAAATATCATTTATGATTTATGTTTTTTTTAAAACGAAAGTCTCTTCTGTAAAATGCATGTTTCATGAGATGAGGGCCAATGGATACTAAATACAATACTCTGGAGAAAAAAACTTCCAACTTTTCTCAATCGGACCTACCGCGGCACAGGGCGGGTGTCCCAGAGCATCCTCCACGTTCAGATCCTGATCTTTGAAGCCACAGCAGTTGAACTGGCTCTGTACCTGCGTGCGGGTGACCGCGCCCGACATACGCCAGCCTTGCTCGGCCAGCGAGTCCTTCTGGTCAGTGTTGACCGCCAGACAGGCGCAGGCCAGGGAGAATTGCAGCAGGAATAGCACAAACAGGATGATCATGTACTGGAGGGGGCGTGGTTAAGGAGGTTCACGGAGACAACGCGTGATGGGCAGGGTGGTTGGTTCCTTCTCAGGTGTAGAGTGTGTTGAGGGTTTTTTTTGTTTTTAATTTGAGAGATAAGAGAAGCAACGGATATATTGGTGGTCAAGTGCACAGAAAAGTAAGGAGAGTGTGTGAGATATATATATATA